TACGAAGAACAATATATTAAAGATCTAGTCGAGATTATATAAGGTCTACTTAATAATAAAGAGTTTCTCGATAAAGAAAAGAGTTATTAAACTATTACGTAAAGACTTAGAATCCTTTATACTAAAAAAGTAAGTAATAAAATGCGGACTTACTTTTAAAGATAAAATCTTATTAAACAAGTTGAAAGATATTTAAGTTTTGATATACACATACCGAAAAGTGAATAGCGCAAGACTCGATGATTTCCTTTACATAAACCTTATTACTTATTAATACAAAGTTCTTAAAAAAGCTACTTTAATAGCAGATAACGTTCCGAGACGATACTTATTTACAAAACTAGCATAGCTATACAAAACGATTAAAAAAAAAGTAAGGAATAGTATATTTAAAAGCATAATGCTTGCAAATAAGAAGCTGAGTGATTAAAACAGCTACTCGAACTTAATTTAAAAGTCGGAAAAATCAAAACCCGAAAAAAGTAAGTTTCGAGTTACGTTCGATTACTTAAAAGTAAAAGAAAAGATCTTAAGATATACACTAGTTAAGCTAAGAGAATGCTACGTGTACTTAAACTATTTTTAACACAAAGTGTTTTCTTAAATAGATCTTAAACACGGATACTAGTCGGTATCTATCTACTCCGACGATCGTTATATTTACGCTTTTTTTATATCAAGTCACTTTTAATTGCAACCAACTCGGATAACTTAAAGAAAAGAAAGCTCGGTTTTTACATTTAATAAATTAATAAAGACTATACTCGAAAAGATATTAAAGTCTTAAAGAGCAATAGACGAAAGATTTAATAACTCGGAACCTTTACTTTTCTTTTTTATATTCGACGAAAACGAAGCATTTTTATTAAAGCTAAAATATTATATAAACGACGTTTTCTCGAAAGTAAAGAACTTTAAAAAGGCATTCACTTTTTTAGAACAATATTAGCTACCGCGCTTATTATAGTCGCAATTAAAGCTTACTTTTAAGAAATGTTTTTTATTTATAACTAAAGTTATAATACTAAGAGTAATATACAAATCAAGTAGAAGAGCAATAATAAAGAAAGAAAGAGCATAAAGCATTAAGGATTAACTTACTTTTCGCAATGCTTAAAAAACAAAACGCTTTTTAAGATCGATTTAAATTATTAGAAATTAAGTTAAAAACTTCGCAAAGATTACTCGCTCTTTTAATCGGCTTATAAGCGAGGTAGATTAAACGTAAAAGAAAGCAGAATGCATGTCTTTCAACATCTTAAAAGACTTTTGCAGCAGAGCTTTAAAACGATTCGATTATATACTTAACAAACCGATGCTAATATACACAAATGCGAGTGCTTATATTAAAAGATGCTATATTACTTAAACATAAAATAGCGGAGACGAAGTACTTTTGCTTTTTAATAGCTTTATTTTAACGAAAACATAACGTTAATATAAGATATATAAGAGAGAGCTGTTAGTGATAGTCGAATTCTATTGCAAATACAATTATATATTGAAATGCGATAAAGCAAGCATAGTGTTTACCGACCATAAACTATTAACACACTTTTTAGATTTTAAGTTAATATAAAAAAAGATCTACGCAAAATAAGCTTGCGAGCTAAAGAACTTTAATATAACGATACAATACATCGAAAGCTATAGAAACCAAGTTGCCGACGCTTTATTTAAAACGATCTTTTTAAAAGATGATTATCGAGGTTTAGAATTCGAAAAGTTCGAAACGATCTCGAAGATAAATAAAGATAAAGTTTAGATCTAAAAAAACGAGAAAAAAGAGTATAGATAGCTATTAAAAGAAGTAAAGAACTTATTAAGAGACTTAAAACTAAAGAAAGTTAACGCAATAAAACATATGCTAAAACTTAAGTCTATTTTATAATTATTCGAAAGAGCTTAAAAAGACGTCAAGTTCGTATTAGCTTTATATCGAGCAAAAGGATCGAAATACGTTATTAAGTTAAAACCGATATTAAGAAAAGGAATCTCGATATTAAACTACTTGCAATCGATGCTTACTTAAACTAATATAATGCTCGACTATCTTTTAAAGATATTAAATATAATTCTTTTTTAAGAAAAAGCTTATCGATAATGCTCGTAGTATATAGATATCTTTAACTTAGTTGCTTACGGCATCTTTTTTATAAACTCGGACAAAGTTAAGCAAAAGAGATTGCAAACGAAAGCGAGCTTTTATAAGTAAAAAAAGAAAATATTATAGTATTATTAAAAGCAAGTGTAAAGAACATGTCTAACGCTTAAAGACATTAAGAAAGCGCTTCGGACGGCTTATAACTAAGAAGGTCACTTCGCTATCATTATTATTATAAAAAAGTTAAGAAACGTATAATAGCTTATTATAATTAAAGACGTATACTTGTATATCTTAAGATGCTTAGATTGCGCGAAGCACGGCACCGCTATAAGATCTCAATTATTATTTAGTGTAATAGTCTCGAGATCGATAGAACTTCTTAAAGCAGACTTTTGCGGACTTTTCTTAAAAGTACTAGAAACATTTTGGTTCTTTTTAATTATTATAAACTACTTTTCGAGATTCATTTAAGCGTTCTTTTATATCGCATTCGATTTAAAAAACGTTATACGCTATCTTATAAAGCTATTCGACCAAGATAGAACGCTAATCGGATTTTATATCGACTTCGGTAGCTACTTTAACGATATAGTTCGGAATTTTATAAGCAAGAGAAGAGTCTTATAAACTAATTCTTTATTAGCATCGAAGAAATCAATAAGCATAGCGGAGAAAGCGGTCGATATAATACAAAAAGCGATAGCGAAAACTAAAAAAGCATTCGAAGACAAGTTTAAAAAGGTAATATTCGAAACGAACGCGAAAGAGATCTTTTACTTAAGATACTTATTATTCAAGATCTATTAAAGACACACTTTTAAAGCAATAATAAATTTAGCTTTTTTAACGTATTATACGAAGATCATCTACAAAACACTTTTAAACAAAAGGTTCTTAGACGAACTATAAAGAGCAGACTTTATAAAAACAAAAGATTAAAAGAACGCTGTCTTAAAACATATCGCAGAGCACGAGGTCATTAAGCAAAACGTCCGAGAAAGCTTTAAAAAAAAAGAATTATTCTTTTAAAAAGTCAAGAGCTTATTATTAAGATTTCTTATAATGCTGTACGATTAAAAAGCAATTGAGCAAAAACTCAAACCATTTTAAAAAAGCTTATTTAAAGTATTAAGCTTAAAAAGTAAGCATAAGAGATCATATACTTTAGAACAGATTAATAAGAAAGCGATATTACGACACTTTCACATAGACTAACTCAAGCTATTTTACTTGCGGACTTCTTATTTGATAACAAGAAAAAAAGAAAGACTGCTAACGTACTAGAATTTAAAAGCTAGTACTTCGGAACACTCGCTGCTATCGGAGCTTAAGAAGAAAAAAAAAAAGAAAGAAAAGTTAATTAAAACGGTCGCAAGACATTAAGAAAAGTGAAAAGATAAAAAAGAGATAAAGTTTAGAGATTTTAATAAGAGTTATCAAGGAATATTGATATTAGCGCAAAGGAAACTAAAAAGCGAGTGAAGAAGGAAATTATAAAAGTTAAGTAACGATACCTTAGCGGAGTTTAAAATTCTTTTAAAAAGAATAATAAGCATTAAGCACTTAATTAAAAAAGAAAGTCTTTGGGTCGAAAACTTCGTAAGATAAGGTTATGTGATAGCTTGAGGCTGTTAAGCCTGTTAGAAGCACGTGCACGCTAAAGAAGGTACATAGACTTCTCTTACCAAAAAGAACTTAGAAATATGATCCTCTCTACACAACACGGTCCCCCCCCTACCACTGAAGTGGTACTTACTGCAGAGAGGTGGTCCTAGCCTACCGGTACACTCATCGACAAGTGTCTCTCCAACCTCCAGACTGGCCGGCACCAAACCACTGGTATGAGAGCCACATCTCCTGCACATAGAAACGAGAAAGCGAAGCCTTTCCACACTTTTTATTAGGTACCCCCTTTCTGTGATGAACACGTAGTTCTGTCACTTCTTTAACCGCTTGTGCAGAGTCATCTTTGCTAGTCTTTTACAACACGCTATAAGCGAACAAATATTTAGAGAAAGATATCAATATAGAAAGATATCAATATAGATAGATATCAATATAGGTAGATAGATATCAAGCTAGATAGATAACCTATCCTAAACACCTCTTCGATCTACCTCTCACGGCTGTCAAAGCTAACACGGTAGCACAAGTAACACCCAAATCCATAACCAGCCATCTCCGGACCAGACCCAGTCTCGCTCGCAAAAGCGTAAACAAACCGCCGCACGATCGGCGTGTATGTATGTAGGTACATCATGGATACAGTAAGTAAAGGCCCAATCCAACCAGGCTCTTCGGTCCGGCATACTCACTCGCTGCCAGGTCGAGAATATCTGATCCCGCCAGCTATATATGTAAATGTGTGTAGTGATCAAAAGCTTGGAAGCACGAACTCGGCTCTGGCGAGAGCAACTTTTGATGTTCTCGCCCCCTCGTCTCTCCCTGCTTGATGCCGCCCCGGATCCTTTTGGCTTGGGCACGTATACATGTATGCTTGAGCTTGAAAGTTCCAGCAGCTGATAGCAAAAATGCGATGGAGAGACGGAGAACAAAAACCGGGAGGTGCGGTCATGAATGAGCTCCTGCCGAGACTCATCTGCAAGTCGATTTATCCGCTTGGCTCACAGAGATAGAGCATAGCCGACAGAGCAGGTACCAGAGGATAGCACCAGGACAAGACGCTCCCCTAAAGCGAAACCAAAGATGAAAGGCATTTATTCCCTCGGATCTATACAGGACTCCCTCCCTGCAGAAACGCCTGGTCCGCAATTAAGTCACTATCCAGTCCGGTCTCCACCAATTATGTAGCCCATAACCCACAAGGTCGAAAATCCCTCTCATAACGATCCTCACAATTTCCTGGACATCTGGACTCATTCTCCTCCCATCCTCAAGCAGGAACCGCGTCGGCTTGCGCGATTAATCTAGCCCTCCATCCATTGCACACCTCCTCAAATCCACCAACTACATCCCCACAAACACCCGCACACTCCCTCGCACCTAGTCTCTCGCCCCAGTTGTGCCTCTTGAGCCATATCTCGCCCTCTTCCCTCGCCTCCTCTTCCTTCCGCATCTCGGCTACTAGTTCCCTGGTGCTTTTCAGACGGCGTGCAGCGGTTGCGGTTGTTTGTCTTGACATGTGAAGCGTATCGGATAGGTAGTTGAGGGTGTGCACTAGATCGGCTGTCAGGCTGTGGAGTTGATCGAGGGATTGGAAGGCTGCGGCTGTGGGGCGAGGCATAGATTCTCCGGTGGTGACGAGAAGTGGCATTAGTTCGTTGATAAATTCTTCGTCGGGTGGTATGGAGCCTGGGGAGAATAGGGGGTAGGCGAGGGATTGGAGGAGGCGAGTTTGGTGGTGGAGATGTGTTGAAAGTGCCGAGTGTGCTGTGATGAGTCTGGCAATATATTAATTAATCGTGGCTTTCTGGTATGATGCTCGGAACCAACCTCGTAGCATTCCCCTCGACACCAGATTGCCCACCGAGATCCTTGAGGCCATCTATCACCCTCTTCACAACACTTTCTCTGTCCGTCCCATTATTCTCTGCGCCCCTTCTTGCCAGACTATCGACCATGTCCATCCTAGCCAACAGTCCTGTCGGCATACCAGGCGACTCCAGATCCGAGTCTCCTCCGTAATCGCTTCCGTCGTACTCACTCGGTTGTCTCCTATGTCTTCTTCCTCCTCCTATGGTTGGCGTCGGCGGTGTCAGGTTCGCAGATTTCGGCTGGACCTGCACAGGAGAGGACCCAACATCCACACCACTATCCCTCGTCGGTCCGTTCCCCTCATCTCTAACCTCCTGGAAATTCATGTCCGGTTCGTAGTCCTCATCGTCTTCTTCCTCGCCCTCCTCCCATGCATCCGCCAGTTCGTCCGCTAGATTGCCCAGGCCATTCGACGGGGCAGCCGGCCCACCGCTACTGAAGACATCTGGACCGATCGAATCGGTCCTCGTGCGGTTGTTCCTGCCGGGCGAAATAGGAGTGTTGATGCTGCCTTTCGAATGCCGTCGAGGGCTTCCGCTGTATGAGAGGGGCGTAGCAAACGAGAGGTCGGTGGCAGAGGGGCCTCTGCTATGCGAAGGGGTTCGCGGCGAGGTAGGCATTGGGAGCGTGGAGGGGCAGTATTCAGCCCGCTTTGAGTGTCTGTTTATTTTCCCTGCAACTCTCTGGCATCCAGTCCCAGCTCAAAAACTGCGCTGTTCAGACTCCTTCCAATCCCTTGTCCTTGTTCGTGTCCAAAATTCCCGAGCTATATTTCGTTCAGCCCGGTATGAGGCAGTAAGCTCTGGCGGGATTGTAGGAAGAGCCGGAAAACGTGTCGCCGGTGGCAGACGAGAGCGTGATGTTTTGGACGATGGGATTTATTGACTTGTGGATGAGGTGAAGTGTTGCTATGTCGTTGGCGCATATATCCTTGTCTGTAGAGATTGCGGTAATGCGTTGCAGACAAGGGCGTGCATTCCTCTGACAATAATTACGGACAGAACAGAAGCTTGGCTCCGACCAAGATGCGAACTGAAACGGCTGTCAATCGTGTCGCCGGTGGCTATTTGCTAGAGACGAAATGTGTTGACGACATTGGGACGTTGTCGTCAGCTACCGGTACTGACTGTATAGGGCCTTTTTGCCTGCAAAAGCTTCAATTTCAGCCTCGTCCACAACAGCCATGGCATCAACAACGCGCACATGGAACACCAACATTCACATCGTGCTTCAACGTCACTCCACAACTCGACTCTGAGCTCTCTACGGGGCTGGTAACATATTAACCCGTACCATACTCCGGGTCATAAACTCTCCAAACCATGACATCCATACGGCCCTTCCATGCGATGGACATCTTCCATTTTAACCCCACCAACCTGGATCCTCTGACCGAAACATATGATCTGAATTTCTACCTCTCGTACATAGCTCGATGGCCGCACCTTTTTGATGTAGCGGAGGGCCAGGATGGGACTGTCGACGGCTACAGTACGGACTCCTCACTACTGTTACCCTTCTCCTTCAGGATATGCAAGTGTATATAGGTACCTAGGTACTGACACCTCATAGTAATGGGCAAACTCGAGTCCTCCCCCTCCTACCTGATTCATCACGAGCATTACCTCCCGTTCCACGCCCACATTACAGCTCTCACTGTCGCTCCCCACGCGCGTCGTCTCGGTCTCGCGCGAACCCTCTCCTCCTCCCTAGAAACCAACGGTGACCAATACGATGCCTGGTTCGTCGACCTCTTCGTCCGGAAATCAAACAAGATCGCGCAAGCTTTGTACACGGGACTGGGCTACAGCGTCTTTAGGGCAGTGAAGGATTATTATATCGATGATTGCAGCGGGCAGGGCAATGACGGGGAGGATGCGTGGGATATGCGGAAGCCGCTGGCGAGGGACAAGGAGCTGAAGCATATCAGGAGTGATGGGGAGAAGTGGGAGATTTCACCTGAGGATATTTACTGAGGTAGGATTGGAGAATACTTAACCTCAAAACCTCCCAGGTGGGAAAAAAGGTGCCGAGAGAGGAAGTGCATGGAATTACTTAAGAGTGTGTAGAAAGATAGATACGCTCCGAATGTCCTTCATCGGGAATTTAGGAGGAGTAGGACTTGGTAAAAGTCTCGATGATTCCAAAAGCAGACTGATCAGAGCTTGTGTAGGGGAATAGAAATTCCCCAGCATCGAGGAACAAAGATCGCCTCACTGCCAAACATCGTCTCATCAAGCCTGGTCGATTGACTCTTTAAAGAAAACAGTGAAGAGGGGGAAGAGGCAAATAGACATGGATATATACATACATACATCAAAAACCATGAGAACCACAAATACGAATCTAACTAAAATCACCCTCAGAGCCACAACCACAACCACTTCACTTCACAACCACTTGCCTTCACACCCAAACACAGCATCCCATCTACAAATCCCCAGACAGAAAACAATCCAAACAAAACAAAACGATGCAGCCAGCTGTCCCTTCAGCATTCAAGCCATAGTAGTAGCTCCTTAAAGTGCGATACAGCCAGCTATTTCTCGAGCATTTCCCTCTCTCCTATCAATCGGCTATTAGTCAAGTTTTTATAGATTATACGTCGTGTATTGATCAGTAAAATGTAGTAGTACAGTGGGAGTTAGCTCGAGTTCACGTTCTCGGAGCACCTCAGGTATATCCCCAAAGGGGCCGAAACCTGCAGATTTCACTTGCAGATCTGGCCTGCAGCTTTTGCTAAAACACTCCTGATGTAGGTAGAACGACTCCATTGGGTATACACAGGCTCGCGTCGCTGGCGATGGGATGGCCATGGCTGCCAGCCCCAGCCCCAGCTTTGCCAGCCAAACGTCCTTATTTTTCACAAACATGTTAAAAACAAACCGAGGATCGCCTGCCTCACTGCCAAACAATCGTCTCATCAAGCCTGCCTCTCATTGATAGGTAGGCATTCCAGGATGTCCAGCTATATCCCGCCATCTCCCCCAAGGCACCTCTTGGTTCACATAGCTCGCCAGCTCTTCTTCTGTTTCATAGCATGTAGCGTAGAAATCCAAGGTATCCCCGTCGACAACATCGATGGGGATGACCATCTGCAGATTGCTCCCGAAGCGACTAATATACGAGAACCGTAGCACCTTTGTGGCGTCGACGTCGGGCAGCTCCGCATGGATATAATTCAAGATGTCTTTTTCTGGGGTGTTCCAGAGGACCTTTTCCTCATATGTGGCATACGAGACCTCTTCCGTCCAGTATTCCGGGACCCAGATCTTCCTCACTGCTTTCATCAATTCCAGGTTCGCTTCGATAACACAAACCCACTTTTCGCGGCCTGGCCTCCCCGGCCAGCTACCCGGCTTGTTTGCTATTGGGATATGTATTAGCGCCCGCGCGTAGCAACGGTGACGGATTCTACGAATGTGTATAGAAATCAAACTCACTCAAGTAGTAGCCATATCCCAATTGAAACACGTTTGGATCTTCATCCTCGGTCCATCTGACGCTGAATGGCTTGTTGTCTAGATTGGTGGTAAAGGCTTCTTCCTGTCATTCGCGTCATTAATCTAAGCTCATGCCAGGTATTTCAAGTGAAACAAACTTACTTCGTTAACTGTTCGATAGCCGATTAACATTCTTCCTTCACCTTGAGCTCTACTGAATAGAAAGCTCAAGGCTAGCAAGAGCGGGCAGATGTATTGCGATAATATAATCATGTTCAGAGAGTGGGAGCTGGCGAAGGAGAACAACCTTGCAAGAGAAGAGGATGGTAAAGGAGAGGATGGTAAAGGAGAGGATGGTATAGGAGAGGATGGTAAAGGAGAGGATGGCAAAGAAGAAGATGGTAAAGTAGAGAGAGGATGGTAAAGAAGAAGATGGCAAAGAAGGTGGAGAATTCACGCTGACTTGGGTGCAGAAATGGGCATATATCTTTATATATACATATACATATATATAAATGTATATAAATATGTATATATATTCCATAGTGCGTGTCTTTGGCTGATCCAGTCCGGTGTTGTATTCCTTTCACTTATTTTAGCAACTTATAATTTGTAAGAAATTGTTCTTGACGTGTGCCCAAGAACATCCTAGACATCAAGTTGGATTTAAGCTATTCATGGTGCCAGGTACTCGCGCGGACACGAAGTCCGTCCGCCAAGGGGAAAATCTTAGAGACGCGTGCTGCGCTGGAGTGCCTCTTCAGTAGAGTCCTGCAACCTATTTTTGGGCGATTTCCGCCTTGGCGGACAGACTTCCATGGCCACATGAGTACGGGTATTGCAATCTCCTTCTTCAATTTGAAAATATCAACCTGTAAGCACAGGTAAACTAACCCCCGCTAATTACTATGTACTACTACTAGTACCTTTGCACTGTGCTGCACTTTGCACGGGCCAAAGTGTCACTGAGGGTGGTCGGAAAGTATAAATCTTTAATTTAAACTCCCGAGCGATACTCAAAGCTGATACACAAACAGACTGGGCCGGCCAACAAACTGGCGTGTGACCTGAACGAGAAAAGAGCACCACACTGCATCGCTGATACATGAGAAAACAGGCTAGGGGGGATCCAAGCTCCGTGCCACCAGGGTTATCAGTCGTGTGAAGACGAGCAATATCAGAATCGGGCAAACCAGAAATCCAATAAGCAAGTACAAGACCTGTTGAATAACTCCATCATGTTTCCACCCCTCCTCAAAGGCTCAGACTGACACGCGTTAGGGTTCATATACCTCCCAATCACTCCATTGAATATAGGCCAGCGCCGCTGGGGTTGGAATGGCCATGGCTGCCAGCCCCGACTTTGCCAGCAAAGCCTCCCTTCTTTCACACATTCTGGTAGTATAATTCCTGTTGATTGGCCAATGGCGTTGAGTGCGGACGTTGTTCATGGCCAGCGCCACCCAATTCCAATCAACACTTCCATTCGGGAGTATGTTGTCGAAACTTCTTGAGAGGGTCCTCAGGACGAGGTCTTCGTACCCTTGCCACATGAAATAAGGCTCACCGCCGTGATAAAGGGGTACCGTCGTAACGTAGTGTGCGATCGTTGCGTTGTCCGGTGGTGGCAGATGTTCAAATTCCGATGCCATTGGTGAAGTCTCGCTCTGCCTTCCCAAACCCCCATGCACGATTCTGCCAATGATGTTGAGCACGCTCTCAGCAGCATAGACACCCATCATGGCTTGCATCTGGTTGAACCTCTCCGTCACATCTCGGTAGGTCCAGCCATGTCCTCCGAGAAACCAGACTTGCAGATCGCTTTGGCGGAGGGCTTCGCAGAGAAAGTAATCATCGATATTGCTCCACAATGAGTCGCCGATTTTTCCAGCCCGTGCCCAGGTTAGAGGCATGTTTGGATCGGCCAAGAATTTTTCCCAGATAGTAGACATGGTTCAGGTGGAAAGTCTTCGCGGGGAGATGGTGTTCGAGTCGAGCGAGGATGGAGTATAGCGAGGATGGAGTATGGCGAGGATGGAGTATGGCGAGGATGGAGTATGGCAAGGATGGAGTATGGCGAGGATGGAGTATGGCAAGGATGAAGTATAGCGACGATGGGGAGTATAGCGAGAATGGAGTATAGCGAGAATGGAGTATAGCGAGAGTGGATTATAGCGAGGACGAAGTATAGCGAGGACGAAGTATAACGAGAATGGAGTATAGCGAGAGTAGCGAGAGTAGAGTATAGGGAGAATAGAGTATAGCGAGGAAGGAGTATAGCAAGGATGGAGTAAAGTGAGGGAAGGTATGGTAGAGCAAAGATCAAATACAGCGAAGGTATAGTAGAGCGAAGATCGAGTACAGCGAAGTCTTTGGATGTGCTAGGCTTGGTTCAGATTGTAGCATCTCTCAGTGATGGTGCCCGAGTATAATATATAGGCCGCTGGCCACGTGACTATACTACTTACGTGAATATTGACACTAGAAGATAGTTCTCCCACACTCAACCCGGAATAATTCACTGAAACTTCTGTGGCCCACGCTGATGGGTACTTTCGCAATCAAGCGTCAACCCCCAACCTCCAACCCCCAGCTCCCAACTTCCCCTTACCACACTCCCACATTACAATCTAGACGCCATTTGCCTAGCATATGCGCCCGTAGCCCGGATCCTGGGGGTCCTAAAGGCGCGTCAGGCTTTTCTGGCCGCACAGCTGAAAGGCTCTGCCATAGTCGGTCCCCGCTGGAACCTATCCTCCTGACAACGTCGCTAGGATAGAATATGCCAGGTCCGACGTATCCTCGTCCCTCATTTAGCTTGTGGCAACTTTTCCGTAATCAAAGCCAATCTGGTCCTTGATGATGTAACTGTCGCTGTGTGCGATAGTCAGGGTCATCATCGGCGCCAGCAAAATCTCGGTCGGGGCCGCTCCACTGAGGTGGTGGGTCTTGATTGGTAAACGGTCTTGGGGGTTTTGATCGCCTTGAGATTCGTCTCGATAGCCTCGTTCTTGGTTTGAATCGCCTTCTTCCTGGCTTTAATATCCTTCTCTTCTGAGTTCATCAGAAGGATGGTTATTGCCCGACATGGAGAAGTTCTACCGTATCCGAAGCCTGTGTTGAGTTTTCGAAGATCCGACTTGAAACTGATGTCTTATGCTCTATCAAAGAAATCTGTATGTTGAAGCGTTTTTTCATTGGGTTTAGAAAGGACTGGCAGGGCCAAAAGTGAAGCAGAAACGGGGAGATGAAAGACGGGCTATGTATAAGTGAATAGAAGTAGAGTCTGGAATTTTGCATCAAATGAATTTGTTTCCGCTGCCAGTGTTAGTCATTCTTGTAGTAAATTTGTCTTCGGTGTAAGGTCTTACTTCAAGGTGGTGGATGACGAACATGGTGCGTATAAATTCTTTTTCAACTCGTGAATCTGTAAGGTGCTCAACTTTCTGACTATCGACACAGCCTCGACCCCATTCTTTAAAACATAATAGATAATTGTTGCTGGTAGTTATCTAGTGATAATACTACCGGTAGGTCACAGGAGGAAGCTGTTCTGATGATGTTGGTTGACTTGACTCGTATTATCTAGGGCTAGGAATTGGGGTGAGGTTGTGCGGTAGTAGGAACCAGCGCCAAGGCATAGGGTCCGTGCACTGTCTTAGTGGCACGTGCCCCCTGCTCTCCTTCCACTTTACCTAGCAACAATGATTAATGATTAATCGAAATCGGCGGCTCGCTTAGGTGGGCCTCCTTACATCCTTTCAGTCCTAGTCGGTGTAAGCGATTGCGGATCAGAAGCAACCTTAAAGGGGAAAGCAGGAGCATTTAGACGGTCAGCTGATCGTCCGATAACCATCTCTTTTAGAGACGATTTTAATAAGTTGGCATGGCTAGTGGATCACCTTAGGCCTATACTTAAGATTGAATAGAATCTGAAAACAAACGATTTGAATTATTTAAATCGTAGCTAAAATAAAACTATTTTATTCGATTAAATCGTTTTTTTTAAATACTCGTCTTTTCGTATAAGAACCGTCTTGGGACCGTCTTCGAGCGTTTTAAGACCGTCCCATGGCCGTCCCATGGCCGTCCCTGAGCTTAAAACCGTCCTTGAGAACGTGAATTAGTAAGCAAATACTCTGTTTATTAGCTGCTAATCGACCTATTACTACCTTAACCATTTACTACACCTTTTATACTAATACTCCCTCTTTGCGAAGGCTGCAAGGGGCGGCCCTCATACGCGGGGAAACTTTTGCTAAATCGATCGATTTCGATTATAAAAAAATTAAAGCGTTGATATACAAGCCGTAGCAGCGATACCGAGAAATATCTTGGCGTCGAACTTCTTAAATTATTATTAAAACAATTTCATTCAAAAGATAATTTTTATCTATAACTATATCTTCTTTAAAATGGTCATCGGACTATTTTAATTTTTTAAAACGAGCTTATTAATAAGCCTGTTTTAAAAATATAGACGAGGACGGCTGTAGGACGGCCACAAAACGGTCTCTTTCAATAGGACGGTCTTTTCTATAAACTATTCTTGAAAAGAGCTTAGTACTGAATTTAAGCGGTCCAATAGCCGTCTCTTATAAAAGAGGATCAGAGGACCGTTCAAATGACCCCCTACTACCCTTTATGGTAGGTATCGCTTCCGGTATCAAATATCAAGGAGAGGTAAAACAGTCCCGCTATCAAGAATGGTCTCTCATAGTATCGATTACAATTATGCAACCATCGCTATTCAAAAAAAAAAGATCAAGTTTTCAAAAGAATCGATCAAAAGACATTTTCTTTTTGTTTCTGTTCTTGTTTTTTTTTTAACGAAGCCGTAAAACCAGACGCTCGTAACGCTATTGCAATGCAAGTATCACATCTCTTCCCATTCGAGAAAGTCGAACGAATACGGTATCAAGCGTACTCAAAGCTTGCAGCAAAGCCTTCTCGTGTAAACCTTGTACGCTCGCGCTCCGCCCTGCGTAAACCAAACCAAATCGACCGACTCCCCTTGCGATACGGTACCCAGCGAGCGTCTCGTTCCTCTCTCTCTCTCTCAAAACCTTACGAAAGAACGATTCGTCGTTGCTGTGCAACCGATTCGGGATTTTCTACAGCCTGTTGCCCCGGCAGCGAAGCTTTTGATGAACTTCAGATAATATATTTTTAAAAAACCCTCAAAGGCTTTTTGCGGATAAATGCGTCTTCGACCCTAGAATTAATCGTAGAACGCAGTTGTAGATCAAAAGGTGATGTTGCGCATCGTATTTTGTAGGTATATCAAAATTTAGGAGTAGGGTACCGATATAAATATTCGCAGTCGCGTCCGATCCGCAGTCGCGTACGCCGATGAAGACCGAAAGGATGTAGGTAGGTACGTAAGGAGGGAAAAAGGCCCTACTACCTAAGCGAGCCCGACGATTGACGAACAGCCTCGCGTAAAAAAAGCACCTTTAATACAACCCACCTGCTTGCTTACCACCAGCCCCTCTACCGCCCGAGAAACGCTCCGTTCTACGTATGCCATAACACCACTCCAGATTCTCTCACCTCCGAGACCACGAGTTGCACACAAGCAAATTGGATTCCACGGTAAGGCACAGCGATGATCACCGATCGCTCGCGCACACACACCCCCGTGTCGGATCCAAACAATCCAAGTCAAATTTCGCGGTATCTTTCTGAGCATGGTATCCATATAAACGCCGTCAGACGCGCCGAACCGACGAGGATCACCGGGTTGAAGAAACGGAGGCTATAGATCCGCCGGATCACAGAGCGGAGGTGTCATGCCTACATTGCGCTCTGTGATGGCCCCGTGATAGAATCAGATTCGCTCTTCTGTATCAGGTTGTCAGTCGACTTGTATGTGCGCGGTCCGCAATCGATTGGGTTTCGCGGAGTACATCGGTGTGAGGAAGGCGGGCGACCATGCGGATCTTCTCGTGGTCCTCCGAACCGACTGTTGCGCACGGTGGGAAACTGTTGATAGGTAAGGTAGGTAAGCTTCATGTCCTCCTCGATGCCGGTCATCATCACTAGGGGTGAGTGCCTCCTCGAGAAATTTCCGCTCAAGTTCAGTCCAGCAAAATGGAGGTGGGGGCGTCGATAATCTAGGAAAACTCGATGTAACAGTTTTCCTATCTATGAACGGGGGAAGGACAGTATAAGAAACAGGCGCAAGGACAGAGAAACAAACACACCCGGGTCCAATCGCATGGAAGGCGACCTGGATTTGAGAATTCCACTCTCGCAGAATTCAAACTCAATGCTATGCTTCATTCAATCTTTCTCTTTCAAGCCACCACCAGTCAAACTCTCAGCACGAGCAACCAGGTCCTCTCTGCCCACCAAATGAACCAGGACTGTGATGCCCACAATCCCCAGATATCCCCTCTCGACAGTTTTGTTCCTGCTAACCTCCTCAAACCCCTTCTTCCAAACAGACTGATGCTCCGGCCCAACATCCTCCTTGACAACTGCATCAACTCGCGAATGGGGCTCCTTGCCACCCATATTCAATTCATCCATCCAGTTCAGATTGGTGGCCGAGACCAAAGGCTGCGACTTGAAACTATCGGCCTTTCCATTGTTGCCAACAATCTCATCGGCACTCAGATTATGTTCCTTGCCAGCTTTTCTCTTGCCCTGCGGATTCCAATTGACTAGTTTCAACTTCCATTTCTTACGCTTGCTGCCTTCGCTACCTATGCTGCGGATACTGGCTGCAGAGGGTTCAATGCCTGGCATTCTGGATCCTCGTTCCTCGATTTTCTGGGCAAGCTCTGCGACTACATTGCGTTCGGAAAGTTGACTGCGTTCTTTCTGGGGCTTCTTCGGTTGCTCCCGATTCTCCAGAAGTTGCGCCTTGAGAGCCTGCACGGATTTTCGTTGGTTCAGCTGAGACGGTGTGGATGACCATCTGGAAGCCCCTCTCAACACTGGGGGTGAGCCTTGAGTCCGTGGGCTGCAAATACCAGGGGATGCGGCATACTTCTCCTCTTTGGACACAGAAACTTTCCTCGAGGTAACGGTGCCGCTTTCTCGCCTCTGACGACTACGCTCATCTTCGTGATGGGAGGGGATGGTAAACCATGTTCCGCCTGTTCGCTCAGCCCTCGCATCGACGCTTGAGCGCTCTTGAGACGGCCGTCGTGATACTGTAGATTCATCCTTTGCGGAAGCTGCTGTCTCCTTAATGTAGCTTTTGCCTAGAGTCTGACCGTTCGCGTTGGAGACACTGGCCTTCTCTTGTCTCGTGCTTTTGTCACTTTCTATCCATTGATTAGACGTATACGTCAAGAACTGCGATTTATCAGCCTTTGGAACATCCTCCGAACGCGCTGAGGGTCCTGGTCTTTCAAAACTGTCTGTCTTGTCAATATTTGTGATCAAGTGATGTTCGATGACAGCCTCTGGATCCAATTCCCTGGAATATCCGTTCTGAGGTTCTGAGACATGAGGATGCTGGGGCAGTGGTGAGGAATTGAGTTGTTCGACAACAGGGTTTGGAGGGCACGGAGAAACAGCTTCTGGAGGGCATAGAGAGATAGCCTTCTTTTGAGGTGTGTGGTGATGATGGACTACTCTTTTGTGATCCGTGTGTGTGCAGCATCGTACACTGTGGTGCGCTATAGAAGCACCGGGAGTTAGTAGTAGCCTCTTGAAGGTTTCACTAAAATGACTGTAGAAGGGAAAAGTATCCTGAATCGGGAAAAAATGGGCTCCGGATCACCTACTATACTGACAGGCTGCGCATTGGCAATCATCTAGACAATGTTGGCACTCACCGACAACTCCTGAGCTTATTGGACTACCGTGCCGAGCATGTCCGGTCCGAGGATAACCGTGACACTCAACGTATTCGGGGATATCGTGCTTGATTACATAGTGAGTCTTCGCTACCGGCGAATCTGACGAGTCTGGTCTGGAATCGCAAGTGAAATGCGAGTACGGGGAGTCCGGAAAGTGGGTGAAAGGAGGATTATTCCCAGAGATTTGAGAGTGACGCCGAGATGGAAGTTTGACTGCATAATCGATCTGGCTCGTATCTGCGTTGTAACCAATATCTGTACCTTCAGGCACCCGCTTCTTCGGCGGTCTTCTCTGGTACGGTGCTGCGTGAATGTGTTGCAGTGTAATCTTGCTGTTACAGCTCATCGCTTCTGATGCCCCCGAAGGAAAATTGACAGCACGATGGTGCTTCGTGTGGTGATGCGATGTATGATGGAAGTCTTCCTGGGTGTTCAGAGGAGATAGACGAAGCGACTGTCGAGACGATTTCAGATCGGCAATTATGAAAGGATTATCCTTCACACTTGTTGCCGTTCGATGTCTCAATGGTATGACAGGATCTTGTTTTGAGGGAATTCTTTTGGGTGGCTTCGCATCAGGCTCAGGTCCATAGAAGCCGGGAAATTTATCGGGCGAGCTTGAGGGCTTCCGTGACGGAACTGCAGGCTGCTCGTATCTTGGCTGTAAAGGAGTTGGACCAGGCCTTGGCTGAAGCTTTTTGACGGGGTCATTATCCATATTTCGATTTTCCTTTGGCCTCGAATTCCCTTGTCGTTGATCTTTCCTCTGCGACTTTTGTTCCAAGCAGCGAGGACTTACCTCCTCGAATGTGGACGGCAGATGATCAATGCAGATGTAGCATAATCGGTGGCTACATCTCCAGCACTTCATCGAAGTATGACTATTGCTGCACGAACACACATGGCAGTATTTGGGTTGTCCGCATGTGCTCTCGCCCAAATCGCGAGAGACCTCCCTGGAAGCAAGTCCTGGCGGTCTCTGTATACCATATTCTTCAAAAAGATCTCGAACATCTTGTCGGCGGGTTGTGGACGTTGATGCAATCGAGGCTTCCGATTCCCCAAAATCCAATCGTCGAGGCCTTACTCGGTGCCGGTACGAGTCCGCGTCGATCTTCTTCGCAGTGCTATTGGAAGTCGGCGTTCGTGTCAGGTGCTGCGACTGATTACCCGAGGAGTTGATCCTTATCAGCACATCTGGCTCTATACCATTGCGAGGCTCGATACTTCGAGTTGTAGGCTTGGTCCTCGACAGACTACCCCTTGGGAAGATAGCATCGTACTGCGCTGTTGAGTGCAGCTCTTGCTCCATCTTGACATTGATTGAAGGAGCTGGATTATATTGAACACTTGCACCTGCGATGCCGTGCTCTGCTTCGTGGTTGGTCCGGATTGCTTGGATGCCGAGATAGCTGTGCCTGCTTTCGATCCGGGTTGCTTCATCAGGCTGGGCACTCTGCATAGCAGGATGTCCAAAACGGGGATTCACACGGCGACCAAATCCGGAACGTGAAGCCTCTCGAGCGTATTTCCTAACAGCGGTTGTAGGCTTCGGTGTACTTGATCCTCGAAAGTCCTGTAGAGATCGAATGCGCGAAGCAACAGATCCCTTAGGAATAGCGTCTCGAGAGCAATTTCGACCATGAATGGCAGGCAACAACTCGGAAGAGGAGGTACCGTCGTAATATGCCGAGCCAGGAGGTCGCCACGAGCGGATGGTGGCCATAATCACGCATCATCCGATTACGGATACATCGGGGCCACGGGAGAATCTCAAATGTAAAAATGAAAGGAAATAATAGTTCGATAAGAGAGTGACTGAAAAAGTAGCAATCTGCAAGCTTCTTGACAAAAAGACTGCGGGCGATGCCATGAAAGTAAATAGTGAATGCGGGGAATAGATAGGGGATGGGGTTCTCAAGGTTGACTTGCAAGAGGAAGCAGCGACCGTCGGTCTACTTGTCACAACGTGTCAACAGAACGGGAAGTTCCGTGGTATGCATTCAAGAAACAATGATGTACAAAGCGCTCCGTCTATAAGTCTGCCGTGCTCAACTGGGACCCATGGCACGTTTACTTGAGCGCAGCTTGCAAGCTCTCCAGAACCTGCTTCATATTAGTCCCAAGCCCCCTATACGCTACGCCAGACTGACCTCAATCTCAATCTTTGCCTCAGCGATGTCTTGCTCACTCCCGCTTCCACCAGCAATCTTCTGCGCTTCCGCGATTTGGGATCGAACGTTCTCAATGCTGAAATCCTCCAATGGGAATCCTTCAACCGCGTTGATGCTCAATTCCGAGTTTGGCTGAACAGTTGCAAATCCTCCGGAAACTGTAAAACATTCCTTAGCCAGAGACCACTGCTGAGTATTGGCGGAACCCACGGAAGAATTGCTTGCTTCCACCACTCTCCTCAATGACCTCAACCAGCCCAGGCTTCAATTGCTCAATTGAAGGAACGTGGTTGGCGAGAATACCCATCTCGCCGGTTTCGGCGGGGATGTTGACTTGGACAACACCTTGCGACCTGTAGATAGACTGTAGAATACCAGTCAGCCAAATTTTCCCTTCCACCACATTTCCCACCTCGATCTCCCCACTTCATCCGGTTTGTTCCGCCATCCTCTCCAACTGCCAATGCTCCTCTCAATTGTATCCATATCGTAGCTCGAACGTACCTGATGGGGGAGAACCAAGCTCAACTTGATCTGCAAGCTGTTAGCCATGGCCGCAAAATCTGTTGAAAGCTGCCAACCTTGTCCGAGACGGCCTCAGCGTATCCTCTGCGTCCGAGAGGTGCCTTGATAGCTGTAGGGCGCACGCGCAGAGCGGCACGAGCAATCTTGAGGGAGTTCATGATGATTGAGAATTCAATTGCGGTTGGGTTAGATGCCTCGTCGGCGAGAGCTTGGCTGGAGTTCGCAACTCGGCTCTCACTAGTGAGATCATGTGACGGATGATGCGGCTCTGAAGCAAAGCTACATCCAGTCAGGTCGGCAACCCCGAAACGCGTTCAGATTAACTCCTACCACAGAATAATGAGAAGCAAGTTACTGATTACAGCGATGGCTTGATTTGACGCATGAAGGCGGCAAAAGAAAAAGTTAGAACACTCGTCGATCAACTACCGCTCCAAGACTACCTTATCCGGGTCTTCTCAAGAAACGCAATACAGCCCTACGTGCTGCCACCCATTTATGATTAACATTTATTGACGTCAATAGATATATCGAAGTGTACGCCCGTTTCGACTCTGAGCCGGTGGACTATCACAAGAATTCAAACCGTCGAGGAGCATTATCTTATCTATCCGACCAATATTTCAACAGCGATCCGAGGTGAACATGCTTTGATGCATGCAGGCCAGGTCGAGTTAATCGAATGGAGGGCACCAATTCGAATCATCGAGCGAAAATTTGATGTCTATCGCAACGCTTGCGTGGTTGAAGTCCACGCGATTTCCGAATTGCCGGGCTTGCATCTTCGGTCCTACTAGAGTACTGCTTTTAAGATTCATCTTCACTCGTCTTGGCATATTGTTTCCTACTAGCGTTCTACTTTCATGTATTTTTTTTCTGGTCGTTCCAGTATGCTTGTTGTACACAGCTCCTGTCTCTGACAACAATAACTTGAAATCATTTCAAGCGCGGAAAAGGTTCGTTCAGTAGATGCCGTCTGAAGAAGTGCCACACCTCAAGAGAGGTTGACCACTATGGGCCCTTCTTCAGCCGGCAGCTGCGCAGGGCAACTCTGCTATTCTATACTTTCCAATTGGCATTCCGTCCTCGTCAGATGAGCACTATTCCACTTCGCAGCCCGTATCCGTATGTGTCGCATCGAAGTCGGTCCAGCTGCGGAACAACGCAACGTGATCAAATCGCATGTCTTGACTTATCTATCTATTCAGCACGACACGTCCGATCAAGAACGCTTCTACCATCCATAATTCGCGCAGAAGATGACGAAGCCAATCAGGTGGCGAACCCCATATCTACGGACAGCCAAAGGTCATGATACAGAATCCAAGGCACAGTAAACGAAGCTAAGAGGCAGGCTATGCTGCCGCCAGACTCTAGTACCTAGCAACACACCACCACACCAATTTAGAAATCGGTTGACAGGTAGGGAGAGCCCGCCAGTTGCAACAGGGCAATAAACCTATCTCACATTTCACAGGGAGAACAGAAGGCGTTAAGAGAGACAGACAGCTCTCGAATTCGGTCATGCGATGCGACCTAGGTGTGCTGAAGGCTCGTTCGGCTCAAAGCCGGTTTGGACCCTCAGTCTTTCTAGTATTCCTATACTCTGGCACCTGCTCTTGCCAAGTGTACTGTTCAAACTGAGAAAGCGATAGACGCAATCTTTCCACGACGCGTACAGCACTGGGCAAGTCCAAGATCCAGAGCGGCCAGGAAAGAGATGAGAGGGGATTGCATCTGGAGGGATAGTAGGTGATGTGACATGACGTAGGTTTGGAATTGCGTTTTGATATGCGTTTTGATATGTACCGGTCGTACAACTAGACTCGATAGGGCGACGAGGTGGCGGAATGACGAGCATATATTGCAAGTATACGAAGCCATTAGGTTAGGTACCTATTACACTCTTCTCTGCAAGACGTGAAATCCTATCTGAGGATCAGTTCGAGATTCTGCACTGCACAGCTTTACGGAGCGTCCCCCTCCCCTTGCTTTTGGCATGGTACCGGTATCAATGCTTCACCGCTGTGCGTACCACGCTATCAGAGAAAATACAGCCTGTATGGGGCATGCTCCAAGTCGCGTAATAATGAAAGGAGTCGGAGGAAAACTTCAGATTGCGAAGCGCCCACCGGTGCTGCTGCTCCCTGTATTGGCGCCAACCCATATCGTTTCTGTTGCCAGTAGATATAGACCTACCGGTTATTCAAGCTGTTTCCACACACGATACCGGTGCATCAGGAACCCACTCTCCGCGTTTGTACCGCTATCCTCCGAACCATGCGTCAGCAGAATAGCATTAGCAGTCAGCAGACGATGAAGTTAGCGAAGGGGGGAGAGGGGGGGGGGGGAAGCAATAGCAGGTGACGAGGTCATCTGATGCGACGGCCTACATTATATACTTCGTCACAACAGGCGCTCTGGAAGGCGTGTAAGCAGACTTTCCTCACCGATTGTTTTTCAGTCAGTTTTCACATTTTGAAAATTGGGCTCCTCTCCGTGCGTATTCTCCCGCATCCCGTATTTTCCATCTGGCATGGAACTCTGCTCCGCTCCGTATTATAGTAGTAGCTCAAAGTAACGTACGTGCGTACCGTCAGTCAGTAGTTGTGGCGTAGGGCTCGCAAGTACGGTAGTACCTTAAGCTCGCAACGCAAGGCTAGCGTCGTCCGGAGATATTCCCTTGCCGGTCGGAGTCGGAAAAGCCAGCGCTGCAGCTCCCTCTCTCCCGCTCTCCTGTCTCGCTAAAATCCAGTTCGATCGCTCGCTTCTTCTCTACCGGTACTCACTTACGTAGCACTCCCCTAGCAAGAACGATTGGTGTCGATTAATCCCTCACGTATTACCGTCCGGAGCACACATGTCCCGCCCGCTGCTACTGCTACTGCTGCTGCTGCCGCTGCTGCTACTGCTGCTGTCTGCGCATCTGTACTCTGTGCGGAAGGTACTGCAACTGCCTCATCCCTGCCGAGTCTTGTCTCGTTCTTGTTCTTGTTCTTGTTCTCGCAACGCCGTTTCTGGCAGGTCCTGCCGCGACGTAGAGCGCTAGAGCGCCAGAGCGATGGAGAAATGACATTTGTCTGGCGTGCCGCATGCCCAATTTACAAACTCTTGAATATATGAAAGACTACATCATCGTCTCGCGATCCAGATAAAGCATATACCGTACGCGGAGAGATCTCCTTCCCCTTCTTCTTTTCGTTTGATTCACGACGCAGCCCAGCGTCACACCGAGATTCATTTCCCCGAATCCGTACTTGCTACCTACTACCTACTGCATACATACATACTTGTACCTACAGTATGCCCGACACGTCTCACTGCTTACCTTGCTCGCTTCACTTTTCTCACCTCACCCACCCGCTCAATCAATCAGCGGCCGCACACACTCTTTTTTTTTCCTTCCCCTGACCGCCTCGCCTCGGGGGGTTTCTTTTTAATTTAGTTTTCCGTCCGTCTCTGGCTCTCTTCGTTGAACTGTGACGCGTGACGAGTGACGGATAAGGTGGGGTACACGATGATGGATTGATGTCATGATTGTCATTCTTGTCACGCCAGCAAAAGCGCCCGTCACACGAACCTACTACCTACTACCTACTACCCTACTACCGCCGGGAAGGCTTTGATCCAGCCGTTGTCGGTGCGCCCGCGCATGTACTAGTACCTAGTAATAAATACATAGTCGCACAAGTAGGTACGTAGGTATAGGTTACGGAAAGTACGATGTGCTGCAAAAGCTGGAACGGGGCAAGCTCTCGCTCGCCCCGATCGATGCTGCATCTGAGGATTTCCCGAACACATACATACATACGTACGTAGGTCGTAGTAGCTACCTTAGCTGCTCGATAAGTCCCGCCCGCCTCTGCCGCATGCACCGGATATACAACGACAACTACATCCCAAACTAGAATAGTATCCCACAACTAGCGGCACCCAAGTTGTCATATGAATAATACGGTAATAATCATGACCCGACACGTCCACACGTTCCCGTCGAAGGGGGCTCCCTGGCTCCTCTCCTCTGTCTCCCTCCGCGGCTGGGTTCAGGGAGGGAGTGGGCAGAGGGAAATCCATCCCCTGCACGGAGTTGCAGTTCGGCGGTCAGGGTTCGGGATTCTGACGATGGTGCTTTGGTTCGGTGTTCGAAGGCATCGGATAGCAGACGGATAGGAATCGACGTACGGGTAGGTAGGTACTACGTACCTAGGTAGGTCGGAGCCGATCTTCCGATTCGAGCGGTCGCATCGTCGCTTATTGGTCTGGTCGGGCCGCCGGCAGCGGTGCGATCCGAGAGAATTCCTCACCGGACGGAAGGGACAGCAAACTGGTAGAGAGACATACGGAAGGAGTAGCGCCGTGGGTTTACATCTGTACGTATACGGAGGGGGGGGGTGGTGTGTGTGTGTGTGTGTGTGTGTGGTTGCCTGCGTGCAGCCAGTATGTAGTAAACAGTGGTACAGAGTAGATGGTGCAGCTGTCAAGATTTCAAGATTTCAAGATTCAAGATTCAAGATTCAAAAGGGTAACTAATAACATGCTTTGCAGCCCACGTCTTATTTCTTGGCTTGGGAATTATATCCGGGAGGCGAGGAAGGGGGAGGGGGGAGGACGCCACCGATTACACGACATATGTCGCGTGCTGCTGTGCACCCACCCACCCTTTCACTCACCCATCGCCCGGATGCAGTGTGACAGAAGGAAAGAGGGTGGTGGGCAGCAAATTGAAGAAGGGCTGCTGCTGCTGGTCGGGTCGGGTCTGGTCACGTCGCTCGATCCGCGGTAAAGCCGCGGCCTGCTCATTAATGATCCTGTACCGGTAGGTTATGTTTGTTCGGTTTCTGTTTCTGTTCTACCGGTAGAGTGAATATAGGTACTACCTACGTACGTCCGTTTTGTTTACCTGGGACGCTTTTGGCTGCTACTCATTTACAGTACAGCCACGGACTTTCTTCTAATTAGGATGCGACGTCGCCACTCTTGGCTTCCGAGACCCTTTGAGCTTTGGGGTGTCGGGTAGGTAATTTTACTTTGGGGACACTCGTGCGCTACTGCGGTACTCCATGTTTGTGCTTGGGGGAAGTATATTTCTGCCTCTTCGGTTGACATAAAGTATTTCTCCATCGTCCCGAGGGTCATGGGACTTGGGGGGACAGGGAGAGAGGGGGAGGGGCGGTGGTCTTTTGCCCATTGCCGCGACTGCCAGATTGTTTACAATTTAGCGCGGGGTCAATGATGATAATGATGGTGGTAGTGGTGGTGATCGTGACAATCATAATGATGCTGATAATCATGATATAGTCATCATGCCTCCTCTTGAGGGAGAGAGGGGTCTGATGCCGGGGCTGATGCTGATGTCTTCTCAACATCTCCTGTTGTTGTGCCGGGCAGAGTTCTTGGACTGCCGGGACATAGGGCGAACGGGATACCCTGGAAAGCGCGCCGCGGTCAGATAGTACTGTAAAGATAGTTAGCTACGGAGTCTAAATTACAGGTAGAGTGCGGTGGATGATGAGGGAGGGTTGGCCCTGGATATCCGTAGATGAATGTCGTTAGAGTCTTGGTATTTACCCAGGGCATGTTCATCGCATGTTGGTCGGAGAGAAAGTATAGTGAATGGAATTAATAGATAGACAGGTAGATACGGTAGATGGATAGATGGATAGAGTAGGTAGTAGATACTTTTTGTACATACTTCATACATACTTTTGTACATACTTCGTACATACATACATACTACTACATACTTCTACTACGTACGTAGTACATACATACATATACATACACGTATCAAAGTGAGGGAAAGGCAGAAGAGATGCCAGTAGTGAAGGGATCTGTAATCGCCGTCCCAGTCCCCTACCTAATGCGAACCCAAAACATGCCAACTCCTTTGTGATGAAAATATCTTTTACTCCTTTCTACAGTACGTACGTTGAATTGTCATCAAGAGCAAGGTAACCGTTTGCGGTAAGGTACCTACCCTGCCCAGCTCTACCTACCTTACCTTATACCATAATTAAATTTTATGGGGCGAGGTCCATTAGCCGCCCAAAATACCGGCCGTCCTCGACCCACCCACCCATCCATAACCCACTTCTACTTTCTTATTTCCCTCTTCACTCCATCTCTTCCCTCCTTACATCTAACCCCCCT